CCTTAAACAAAAAATTCTGCGTTATGTGTGAGTTATTGGGGTGGCCCTGGGGACCTTGACATGCAAATGACTACATTTCCCACAGTCCACTAGTGTTCCCTGCCCGCCCGCCACTCAGCTTCCATTTGCCTTCTCTTGCTGCTTTGCGTACATTGCTATTTCCCAAGTATTCCCTCAACTCCTTTATATCGGTAGCTATTTTTACAAGACTTCCATTACTCTTAATCATCTGAGCTTCCCTGTTAGAATAGAGATTGGAAATAGTAACAAGTTAAAGAAAGAAAGAGGAGGGGAAACCTGTGAGCCAGGCCCCCAACATACGTACAGTTTGCTATTTATCAATATAATTTCCTACCCACCCTTCACCATTCAATCCCACAGGAGTTACAACAATGTAATTGACACTTATGAAAACAGATCAAACTGTTACAGTGATATAACAAGGAAAACCCATTCGAAATGGAACAGAGCAGTTTCAACTGAATGAAAGTGTTGTGCTTGCATCCAACACAAGTCATCCCATTTGAGCCAGGCCTTTGGCTCATGCTATGAAACTTCCCCTTTCCTCCTCTCCCTTCATGTGTCCCATATTACACCCTTCAAATGTGCTCTGGAAGGTCGGGGGGATGATGACCCAGAACAGATCTGGGAGGGGCTGTGGGTTGTTTTCACAATCTGTATTTTAATAATTTGTTTTAATTATAGTTTAATTACTTTTTAGCTATTGCCCCTTTAAGCTTTTAGCTTTCTGTGTTTAGTCTGTGTTGTTCTTGATTTCTGTAAATCACCTGGAGTTCTGTTCTGGGGAAAAGGTGAGATATAAACAGTGTTTTTTCCCCCTGGGGGGACACAGGGGTACGCATACCCCTAAACATTTTGTGAATCTAAGTTTGGCCTCATTGAGGGGCAGTATTTCAATATGTGTAGGAAAATAAGAGTACCCCTGAACATTTTTAAAGAAAAAAGCACTGCATATAAATAATAATAATAATAATAATCAGATCTGGAAGTCGAATGGACTTCTGGAATGGATTCCATTCGACTTCCAAGCTATGATTGTATTACAGTATGTGCCACACTTTTAATGGGATGTGTGTCCCTTGAGTACCCCCCCCCCAAATATAAAAGCACTGATAATAATAATAAGCCTAAATAAGACAAGGGCACTGAGGCCGCAGTCTGGAGCCAAAGTTACATCCCATGTAAGTTCAGCAACAGCAGTGGGATTTTTTCCACCCTTCTGGGAAAGAGAGTGCCTTGCTGTTGCCAAAGGGAAATCTCTGGGATTAAATGCCATCCTAACGGTGGGATGGATATAACTGACTAAGCCGTACAGGCTGGTAGACATAAGTTGTCCTAAAACCACCTGTGGTGTCTAGGAAGTAGACTTCTTAGTCACCTACGCAGTCTGGAAGGCAACCATCTAGTGTGGGCAGGAAGCAGTTTTCTCTTTGAACAACTGCAACTCGTTGCTGATTTCAATGTGAATGGAAAATATTTTTGGAACACAAGTGCACATCCTCACTTAGGGAACCCTGTGATCTTTTATGCAACCATAGCATTGCTTAATTCATGGCCCTTTCCATTTGCTTTCCTGTTGATTTTCCCTCCCTCCCTGTTCAAAAAGCATTTAAATTATACCTACTGTGTGAGTGTACTTAGGTTTTCTTCCAAACTCCTTCATAAACCTCAGGTTAGGAGTCCTTTAAAAGAATTCCAGAGGTACTTTGAGCCCCAAACATTGCTTTCAACAGGAGAGTTAAGCATATGTTTTAATTATTATTATTATTTATTAAATTTATATACCACCCTTTAGCAAAAGATCGCAGGGCAGTGCACAACATTAAAAACACATTACAGAACATCAGTAATCAAAAGCATAATAAAAAACATTGTTGTTGTTAAGTCGTTTAGTCGGGTTCGACTCTTCATGACCCCATGGACCAGAGCACGCCAGGCACTCCTGTCTTCCACTGCCTCCCACAGTTTGGTCAGACTCATGCTGGTAGCTTCGAGAACACTATCCAACCATCTCGTCCTCTGTCTTCCCCTTCTCCTTGTGCCCTCCGTCTTTCCCAACATTAGGGTCTTTTCCCGGGAATCTTCTCTTCTCATGAGGTGGCCAAAGTATTGGAGCCTCAGCTTCATGATCTGTCCTTCCAGTGAGCACTCAGGGCTGATTTCGTTAAGAAGAAGAAGAAGAGGAGTTTGGATTTGATATCCCGCTTTATCACTACCTGAAGGAGTCTCAAAGCGGCTAACATTCTCCTTTCCCTTCCTCCCCCACAACAAACACTCTGTGAGGTGAGTGGGGCTGAGAGACTTCAAAGAAGTGTGACTGGCCCAAGGTCACCCAGCAGCTGCATGTGGAGGAGCGGAGACGCGAACCCGGTTCCCCAGATTACGAGACTACCGCTCTTAACCACTACACCACACTGGATAGGTTTTTTTGCAGTCCATGGGACTCTCAGGAGTCTCCTCCAGCACCATAATTCAAAAGCATCAATTCTTCGGCGATCAGCCTTCTTTATGGTCCAGCTCTCACTTCCATACATCACTTCCATAAAAAAATACAGACAGACCAATAGTTAATAATATTCAATCAGTTATTAGTGATCAGTGGGATGCCAAATTATTATTATTATTTTTTTTATAATGATATTTATTAAAGTTTCACAAAAATACATGAAAATACAAAACAAAGAAAAAAGTATAAAGTTTTAAAATACAGCAAAAAAGTAGAAAATAAGAAAAAACGTACAAAATAAAACAGTTAAAAACACAATGATGTTCCATAACCTATCTTCCTTACTCTTATTTCCCCGGACCTCCTCATAGCTCCCTTCTTTGTATTCCAATTCAATTTGTTGGTTCAGCAAATCCTTACCATTAATCTTTTACCCAATTGTTAACCTTTTTTTCCCCCATGTCTCTTAAAGCATTACAGCTAAAAACCTCTTAGTTTCTATCCAACATCCTTCTAAAGTTCCTTAATTTTGCAATATTTCTGTAAATAGTCCTTAAATTTTTTCCAGTCTTCTTTCACCGACTCTTCTCCCTGGTCTCGGATTCTGCCAGTCATTTCGCCAATTCCATGTAGTCAATCACCTTCATCTGCCATTCTTCCAAAGTGGGTAGATCTTGTGTCTTCCAATACTTTGCGATAAGTATTCTTGCTGCTGTTGTGGCATACATGAAAAAGGTTCTGTCCTTCTTTGGCACCAGTTGGCCGACAATGCCCAAGAGAAAGGCCTCTGGTTTCTTCAGAAAGGTATATTTAAATACCTTTTTCAGTTCATTATATATCATTTCCCAGAAAGCCTTAATCTTTGGGCACGTCCACCAAAGGTGAAAGAATGTACCTTCAGTTTCTTTACATTTCCAACATTTATTATCGGGCAAATGATAAATTTTTGCAAGCTTGACTGGGGTCATGTACCACCTGTATATCATTTTCATAATATTCTCTCTTAAGGCATTACATGCCGTAAACTTCATACCTGTGGTCCATAACTGTTCCCAGTCAGCGAACATAATATTATGTCCAACATATTGTGCCCATTTAATCATGGCAGATTTCACCGTTTCATCCTGAGTATTCCATTTCAACAGCAAGTTATACATTCTTGACAAATTTTTAGTTTTGGGTTCTAACAATTCTGTTTCTAATTTTGACTTTTCCACTTGGAAGCCTATTTTCTTATCCAAATTATATGCCTCCATTATCTGATAGTAGTGGAGCCAATCTCTCACTTTATTTTTTAATTTTTCAAAACTCTGCAATCTCAATTTATCTCCTTCTTGCTCCAAAATTTCCCAATATGTCGGCCATTTGGCCTCCATATTGAGCCTTTTCAGAGCTTTTGCTTCCATTGGTGAGGGATGCCAAATTATTTTAACATAGATGACATCCATTGTAGATATCAATCGTGGTAGGCAATCTTAAAAGACATAGAGTTTAAGTGAAAAGGCAGTAGAAATCTGGGAATGGCTAGATTTCAGAAATATAATGAGATGGGTTCAAGGTAAATTAGTTGCACTTCGTTTCCACTTAAATCAATGTGAAAGGTTAGCCATAACTAGATGAAGTCCCATTAAACTGGAAGGGAATTAAGTTCAGCTAACAGGCTGCAATGCCACACACCCATATTGGGAAGGAAGTCCCACTGAACTCAATGGGGAACACTTACTCCTATATGACTTCGCTATTAGTCTGGATCCAGTCCAAAAGTGCCTAGGGCATTTCTGAGACACCTAAAATTTAGAAGAGGGAATAAAATTGCACTTAATCAAAATACCAGTAGTAGGACTGTCACACATTAAAGTATGCTTCAGGTGTTCTTTAATCAGTCTGTTAATTGATTAATCAATTAGATTTAAATGCATTTCCATATCACTAAATCCTTAATAGAGAAAATATAACTTACAATTATATCCAATAATCAAAAGTTATGTTAATCATTTTTGAAGAAAAAGGCCACCTTTATGGTTGAGCGTTTCATTTCTTGTACAGTGGTACCTCAGGTTAAGTACTTAATTCGTTCCGGAGGTCCGTTCTTAACCTGAAACTGTTCTTAACCTGAAGCACCACTTTAGCTAATGGAGCCTCCTGCTGCTGCTGTGCTGCCGGAGCACGATTTCTGTTCTCACCCTGAAGCAAAGTTCTTAACCCGAGGTACTATTTTTGGGTTAGCGGAGTCTGTAACCTGAAGCGTATGTAACCTGAAGCGTATGTAACCCGAGGTACCACTGTAATACAAACCCACTAGAAAATAAAGAGGGAAAGAAATTGCTGAATTAACTAATTGAATTGGAATACAAAAAAGGGAGGTATGAGGAGGTCAGGGAAACAAGGATATGAATGTAAGGCATGGAAAGATTGATCTATTTTTTTAAGTGTTTTTTATTCTTTTATTCTGTATTTTGTATTTTGTATTTTTCTTGTATTTTTACTTCTGTCTTTTGTTTTTGCTTTTCTTGTTTTTATGTAATTCTTTTTTCTGAAATTTTAATAAATATCATTTAAAAAAACAACAAACCCACTAGAATCAAATCAGACTAAAAAATAAACACATTTGCCTTTGACTCACAGACCTCCAGAAGTTCTTGGATCCCAACTCCCTTAATTTTTGCCTACTGGTCATGTTGACTGTGGCTGGTGGCTGCATTTATCTTGTTGATGGACCTATCTATACATTGGCAGACCTACCTTCTGGTCATCACTATATTTCCTCCTATTTATACTACGTTAGTTCTTCATTCACTAGCTTTTATAAATGTACCTGGTCTGTGCGCAATGACATGTCACCACCCATTCATAAAATTGTCCATTTCTGCTTCTGGTACTGACCTATTTGAATAGCTTTTCTATCAGTAGGCTACCCCGCATCTTCCATGTTTGTTCTGCCCACTTCTTTGAAAGTTACTGGGTCTTTCCATTTTTTGTTCAACGAAAAATATTGCTGCTGCCAGAAAAATATCCACCCTTTCCTACTTTAAGTTGCATATGAATGGAGCTGAGCCAGAGCTTACTGGAGTCAATAGCGAGGTGGTTTTTTTTCTACTGACTTCAATGGACATTGGATTGGGCTCGTAAAAGCTAACCGGCCATAACATTCTGCGGTGATTGCTGCAGATGTTGTTCTTATTCTCTTTTAATCCCCAAATATTCTCATGAGGAGGCTTCTGTTTAACGTTGGAGAAGCCATCGCATAATCCCTCTTCCCACCAGAGGAACATCCCCATTGCCAACATATGGCATGCAGGTGGTACTCAAGGCTTCTCCACGTCTTCCCTCCAACTGCAAAATCCTTTGAAGGCCTGCACTGGCAAGACCGATTCATCATTGGGCACAACTGAAAATGGAAACTTGAATCAGAATTCTTAACCACCGGCCAGGCATCAAACCACAGTCTTTTTGGCAGAAAGGAACTAAGTGGGTGAACAAAATATTTTCTCTCCACTGAACCATCCCGAATCATCACACTGAGGGACAGAGGCTAAGCCTAGCTTGTTTTATCGACTCACCAGTTTGTGACATAGTTAAATCAGACCATTTGTGATATTTTAGCCCAGGAGTGGGGAAGCTCAGGCCTGGAGGCCAGGCCTTTCCATCTGGCCTTAGGTCTCTTTATGGACCACCGCCCTCTCCAGTCATACCCTGAGGCCTTTCTTCGTGTGCCTCCTCCACAAGAGGTCCACAGGGTGGCAACATGAGAACGGGCCTTCTCTGCAATGGCTCCCCATCTGTGGGATGCTCTCTCCAGGGAAGTTCACCTGGCGCCTTCATTACACACCTTTAGGCGCCAAGCAAAAACGTTCCCTTTTAACCAGGCCTTTGATTGATCTGATTGACATCCTATGCCCTTTTAAAATGTGTTGTTTGGGGGAGAGGGCTATTGGGTTGTTGTTTTTATTTTTATTACGTATTTTGTATTATTATATTGTGATCTTATCCTGTGAACTGCCCTGGAATCTGTGGGTATAGGGAGGTATACAAATTTAATTAATAACAACAACAATAATACTTTTAGATAGTTGTAACTTGTCCTGGGACCTGCTAGTGAAGGAGAGAAATAAAATGAATAAACATGCAAGGGGTGATTTCTGGTTTTCCACTGTTCAGCAATACAGGATGACACTGAAAAGAAGGAAAGGGCTGCTGTGGAGCTGCAATGAATCACTTTGTGAATTGTCAAAGACACAGGGCCCTTTCCATAGCCTTTTGGTGTGTGTGGCAGTTGCACCAGAAAGGCAGAGAGGTAGATTAGATAGCTAATGCTCAGTAGGTGCAGGAACAACAGAAGCTTGAATATAAAGGGATAAATTTCATTTTACATACTTGTAAAAAGCTGAACGTGGATTAAAAGCCATATAAGCAAACTTAGTAGTGTCAGCTGAGAGTAGTGTCAGTTGAGTGCTGGTGGTTGCTGGGTTGCGGAGGTCCTTGTGACACGCCCTTCATTGTGACACCTCCCTCTGCTGGCTCCTTGGTCCTCTAGAGGCATAGTGATCTCCTTTGGTTTGATCATTCAGCGAGTGAGAGAGAAAGTGGATGGTGATGTGAGTAGACTTTCTCATCAGCATCTGCATTCTGTGCTGATAATGCTCCCTGACAGTCTTAGGGAACATTTAAAAGATTAAGATCGGGAATGATTTAAATGCTTCAGCCAGCTCTTCTAGGCATCTTTATGACTCCACCCACTGTTTTGTATCAGGGAAGGGAAGTGACTGTGGATTCTGCTTACACTTTACGAAAAGGAAAACTAATAAGTTGTCACGCCTTGGAAAAGGGCGTTCTTTTTAGTCTAGTGACACAAGAGTCACTTGATAACTCGCCATGGGAGCATTAAGCATGTTCTCTGGAGAGGGTGATATCTTGCATTGTCTTCCTCCCCTTCTTGCCTCCCAGGGCCCATCTTTCAAAGGACAGCCAAGGTACAAAACCCTTCAGTATGCTGATGTTTCTTCTGTAGTATTATTAAAAGGTAAAGGTACCCCTGCCCGTACGGGCCAGTCGTGTCCGACTCTAGGGTTGTGCGCTCATCTCACTTAAGAGGCCGGGAGCCAGCGCTGTCCGAAGACACTTCCGGGTCACGTGGCCAGCGTGACGAAGCTGCTCTGGCGAGCCAGCGCAGCACACAGAAACGCCGTTTACCTTCCCGCTATAAAGCGGTACCTATTTATCTACTTGCACTTAGGGGTGCTTTCGAACTGCTAGGTGGGCAGGAGCTGGGACCGAAAGACGGGAGCTCACCCCGCCGCGGGGATTCGAACCGCCGACCATACGATCGCCAAGTCCTAGGCACTGAGGTTTTACCCACAGCGCCACCCGCGTCCCGTGTAGTATTATTAGTATGTGGTATTTTATGTTTCCCTTTTAAACATCCCTTCTCCACATTAATCAAACCCACCTCTTTCAATGAGATGATGAGAATTGTCTTACAATATCCAGAGGGTGCTATTCTGGCTACAGTTTTCAAGCACGCTCCTCACATGATACCAATAATGATATGCCTAGAAAAGTTAATTTATCTTGAGCTTTGAGTCGTGAATGCCCAAACCAGTTTAGGGGTGTAGATCAGGAGAGTGCTCTGAGTCCCATTTCTCACATTTGAACAGGCCTTCTCTGCAGTGGCTCCCTGTCTGTGGAATCCTCTCCCCAGGGAAGTTCACTTGACACCTTCATTATACAGCTTTAGGTGCCAGGCAAAAACATTCCTTCTTAACCAGGCCTTTGGTTGATTAGATTGACATCTTATGCCCTTTTAAATGTGGTTCTTTTTGGTGTGTGTGTGGGGGGGGGGGGTTATTGGGTTGTTCTTTTTATTTTGATTATATATCTTGTGGTTTTATATTACGATTTTGTTTTGTGAACGTCCCTGAGACCTCCAGGTATAGGGTGGTATATAAATTTAATAATAATAATAATATAATATAATATAATAATAATAATAATAATAATAATAATAATAATAATAATATAATAATAATAATAATAATAATATAATAATAATAATAATAATAATAATAATAATAATAATAATAATAATAATAATAATAATATAATAATAATAATAATAATAATAATAATAATAATAATAATGCCCTCTGTCCACAAACCACATCCTTACCCTGCAGTCTCATCTAGTCAACAGGTAAGGCAGGTTTCTGAAGCAGCTCAAAACACTTTCAAAAACTTCACCAGAGGCCAAACTGAAACGATCAGCAATTCCTCCATCAAGCATTACCCAGTCTATATGACCACCACCCCATGTACACACTCGAGCATCTGTCTCCAGCCTAAACTGAAGTCAAGGCTACTGATATGCATCATCTCATTGCTTTTGTTGCCTGACCTGAACACACACGCAGCCAGACCCAGGGCCGGCCCGCATATGAGGCAAGGTGATACAACTGCCTTGGGTGGCAGGATCCATGGGTGCAGCAGAGCCTGATGTATATCTTTATTTCCCCCCTGTTTCTGATGCGGTTCTTCACTCACCCCTACTTCTCTGGTGGGGTGGGAGGCACCATTTTGTGGTTCACCTCAGGTGCTAAAAATATTCCTGGGCTGGTCCTGACCAGATCCTTAAGTAAGTGTTTCTCTGGCTGGCTGCTCTAATTAAAACTGCATACAGTGGTACCTCAGGTTAAGTACTTAATTCGTTCCGGAGGTCCGTTCTTAACCTGAAACAGTTCTTAACCTGAAGCACCACTTTAGCTAATGGGGCCTCCTGCTGCCGCTGCGCTGCTGGAACATGATTTCTGTTCTCATCCTGAAGCAAAGTTCTTAACCTGAAGCACTATTTCTGGGTTAGCGGAGTCTGTAACCTGAAGTGTATGTAACCTGAGGTACCACTGATAATCTTTCACAATCAAGAATGGGAGCTGCCTTCTAGGAAATCATCTAAAACCCACTTCAGGTTGAAATGAACCTGTGGCAAAGCAGTAATGCAAAGAAGCCCATTGGAGAAGCTGTCAGAGGTATACTATACAAAGGGAGATTGCTCTCCTGAAGGCAGCTTCTGTGGATCATGAAGTGGGAAAAGGTCACCTGGCCTCCCAAGCTTAAAACTCTCCCTCCCCGCATGTTCAGAGCAAGCACACAGAAACTGAAAGCATATGGAAGGATGTGTGCACCGGTGTGTCTGTGTATGCACTTGCTGTTCCATTTTGAAAGATTGAAAATGCTGATAGGTTGCTCGCGAAGGAACAGAATGTTTTCACACCTGTGCCAACTGAGCACCAGTCCAAGCTGTTTCATAATGGTGCTTATTTATGGAATCAGAAACAGGTGCCAAGTCAGGTGGGAAAATAAGGAGAAGGAGGCTGAGGTCATAGTAAGCACTACCAGAGGAGGGGTGTAAAAGATGCTCTTGTCAAGTTTCACGGTAAGAGGAGGTTAGGCGGAAATTATAAAAGGAGATTAGAGACTGTAAAGAGTAACGGGAGTCAGCACAGGGAGAGAGCTTCAGATTTTCCCTTCGAAAAGCCAGGGGTAAAGGAAACAAACTATACACCAGAAAAACACAGACTGGCTGCTCAGCCTTGCCTTCTCGAAGCAGCTCTAGAAATAATGGAAAGGGGAGGGGAGGGGAGAGAGAGAGAAAGGAGCACAGCCAGCCTTGACCTCCCCAAACATGGATCAGTGCCACGTGAACCAATGCAAAAGCAAAGACCCACCTGGATGTCAGTAGAATGATGGAGATGCCGTCTCTGCTATCTGGATAGGATACAGGGTAAGGGAAAAGGTGAGTGAAACAAATCATTCACACAGAGATGGCTTATTCCTCAGTCGGGGGGCCCTCATCATGCCCCACAAACAAATTCTTCTGCCCACTGATCTTGTGGGTAGCAAGAGCAAAAAATAAACGGAGTAACCAAATTACGCTCAGTGCTATGGGTGGATGGAGCTCAGCACCTAATAAGGATGCAAATTGCCCCCTCCCTGGTTCTGTGAGCAGAGAGAGAGAGCAATAAACCCCCTCCTCAGTTGATCTGCATGGATCAACTGGAGGAAGGGAGATGTGTGTATGGTTGCTTCTGTCTTTGAGAGAATGGGAGTGTGAAATGGCCACAACCACCAATGGTATGTCGCCCCTGGCAGGCTGACCAAAGGTAAATGTGTCCTTTGTGCCAAACAAGATTAGTGGACTAATCCTTAGTAGACTATCCTATTAAAAGGAGACCTATATGATACTTCATGGTATTTTTATATTCTGTTGGGAGCTACCCAGGATGGCAGGGGCAACTCAGTCAGATGGACGGGGTATAAATAATACATTATTATTATTATTATTATTATTATTATTATTATTACATGGAATATCCTTTCAAACAGTAACTGGAGGTGTGGGGGGGGGGGGAGAAAAAGAACACAAATGGTGAGTCATAGGCTGAAATCAGAAGGAGTTTTAAAAATAAAAAAATTAACATAATCTATGCCCTCTTCCATGAGGGGCCTCCATTTTGTCTCTCCGAGGCCTCAGCATTCACTCTTCTTTTGACAGCACCACCAGCCTATCTTCTGTAACAGCTCCCCTAATCCCCGGTCCCTTTCCTGTCAGCCTTGCTAAAGGAAAGCACTATATATCAGTTCTCCCTCTTCAGCATCACCTCAAAATATGTAGCTTTCCATGGCTTGGGGATACCAGCTTTGAAAGGACACACAGATGACCTACTAGGACAGCAGGCGATAATTTTCTGTTGAGTGTTCCTTAGTGGACTATCGTATTAAGTAGACACCTATACGATATTTCATTTACCACAGGTATTTTGAGTAAAACTGGGCACTTCATACACACGTTCTCCTGTCCATTTATAGTAACATATGGAAGCCTCAGTGGTCTGAATCTCTTCATTCTCCAGATGCACTCTGCATCCTATGTGGTCCCATGCCTCAAATGTCTCTTCCATCTGAGCTTCTGACAGTCCAAATGTGTTGCACGTCCCCCAAGGACAAGCAATAACGTGGTGGTGGCATATCTATGAAGTACTCAAAATAAGAAGGAATGCAAGAATATTAAAAACAAGAACACAACAGAGATGTTTCTCTAGTGAAATATATGAGATGGGAAAGGAGTCTTTTGGGCTGAGTCTTGTAAGCTTTTTGAGACAGTTGTGGTTGTTGTTGTTGTTGTTACACTGCTTACTGACAAAATGGGCTTCTAAGTACAAAAACAAAGATACACAAACCACTAAACGAGAAATACCCATAATTAAAACGCAGACTAGAACAGTACCATTAAAACAACATAGGGATAAAATACGAGAGATTCAGATTGAGGGATTGAGGGAATGCCTGTCTTTAAAAGCTAATGAGATGTCAATGCAGATTAGGCCTCTCATCAGAGCACATTCCATCACACTGGAGCGACCGGTGAAAAAGGACACTTCTGTACTATACTATAAACCAAAACACAGGTCAAGATAGTAAGTATGAATCAGTGCAGGCCGAACTGTTTCACACGCATAGCACAAGTCGCTTACAGAACACTTTTTGGTGTGTAAAGATAATGAAGAAGAAAGGAAGGAAGGAAGGAAGGAAGGAAGGAAGGAAGGAAGGGGTACATTGGACAGGACAAGTGCCACTAACTAATATATTGGGCATGACTCATACCACGCTTTCCAAAATGCTTGTCCAATACTGAATGGGTAAACAGAGGCACCCATGTCTTTTATGACAATCTTACAAGGTGTGTATCTGAAAGAGTGTTGCACACAGACCCTAGTTACAGAGACTGTGTCAGAGTGGCAGGCACCTGTTTTCCCGCCCACATGCTATAAATATATGAGTGAATGGTGGGAGGGGAGACATCACCTTCAGAGGAATCCTTCTTCAGGACATTTGTCCATGGAAGGTCTCCATCAGTGGTGGTAGCTCAAGGGAACATCCATGTTTAAAGGTCTTTGGGTACCATCATCCCAGATGATGGACAGGAGAAACAGTAATCTTATTGGCCAGGGGCACTGTTGGGAAAAGAATGGTGGACTAGATGCACAGCAAAAGAGGTGAACGTCCTGTCCAGGATGATATCATCAGGAGGGGACAACCTTGTTTGAGAGAGAGTTGCAACAAACCACATGGAACAGTCAGACTGGTGTGACACATTAAATGTGTTGTGCAAAACTAGGATCTCATATTTTGGTCACCTCAAGAAGGTTGTTGGATTCAATACCCTTTTGTTAACCCCCCTCCCCACTAGCTCACCTCTCAGACTGGTTTACATGCGTTACTCCAGTGACCCTACTTGGGAATGAAGATGTGGACCCCAACCTTATGCAAGGAGAGAGAGAGAGAGAGGAGAAAAATACTTGAAATGTTACCGTGTTTGTTTAACATTCCTTAATGAATACATGTTGTGTGGACAAAGACTATGTTTTACAAGTTTTCACATTGCATTCTGAAAGAAGTGTTTTCTTTATAATCTGTGTGTCTTTACATAGGCTGAAGGCCAGGTTAAGCAATGTGGTGTAAAGCCCAGGCAGAGGGCCCTCGCTCACAAAGGCGCACTTATTTCATGGCTATCTGCTGACTTTTACAGGCAACAAATAATGTAATGTGCCACCAGTGCAGCTGCACAATATCTTAACCGCAGTAACCAGCACACTTGTGGAGGGGAAGGCACATTTCTCATGGTGGACAGCGTGAGGTAGCATTTGAGATGAGGGCATGGGGCACTGCTTCAAACTTTAAACATTCTCCACCTAGAAGCCGGCAACACTATATATTAACGGAGGGATTTGAGAAGCCCTCCGAATATTTGTTTGTGTGTGATTTGCAATTAGCCTCCTTCCTATCCTCTTTCTCCCCCCCTCCCCTGGGTCTCAGATACAGGGGAGACGGGGTTGGCTTTGCACCTTTCTCTCTTGTGCTCCCTTCTACAGCCTGCCTATGGACTCTGGAGAGCAACAAAGGCTTCCTTTTGGGCCCAGCCCTAGTCACCTTTACATCCTTGCCAGCAAACAGTCCTTTGACTCAACATCCCAGTTGCCCTGGCAATGGAACCATGGTTTCCGGAAGAGGCACCTCTTACCCACATAACACAGGTCTTGAAAGACCGACACTGGCTCCCAGTACGTTTCCAAGCACAATTCAAAGCGTCGGTGCTGACCTTTAAAGCCCTAAACAGCCTCGGCCCAGTATACCTGAAGGAGCATCTCCACCCTCATCATTCAGCCCGGACACTGAGGTCCAGCTCCGAGGGCCTTTTGGCGGTCCCCTCGCTGCGAGAAGCCAGGTTACAGGGAACCAGGCAGAGGGCCTTCTCGGTGGTGGCACCCGCCCTGTGGAACGCCCTCCCACCAGATGTCAAACAGAACAACAACTACCAGACTTTTAGAAGACATCTGAAGGCAGCCCTGTTTAGGGAAGCTTTTAATGTTTAATAGATTATTGTATTTTAATATTCTGTTGGAAGCTGCCCAGAGTGGCTGGGGAAACCCATCCAGATGGGCAGGGTATAAATAAAATAATAATAATAATAATAATAATAATAATAATAATAATTACCCAGCATTTGACATTGAAGGTATTTTGTTTTGTAGGACTCAGCCACCCCCTTTGTTCAATCTATGCTATTCTGCTCTTTTTTGAGGGGACTGTTTTACTTGTTTTTACAATTGTACTAGCGGGGAGTGCCCAAAATAAATAAAATAAAAAATAAAATAAAATTCTGTGTTTTTTTTAACGGATACTGTAATTTCTGGGTATTTTGGCTGTGCACACACATACAAGCTCAGGGTTCTGACCTGACCAGGGAGCTCCTGACATGACCATGAATCTTTTTTTTTTGAGGGGGGGGAGGAGTAATGCCATATTAGGATTAATTTGATCTGCCCTCTTGAGTCAAAATGGTGCATTAAGGAGCCTGCTATACTTGTTCAGACTCTCTGTGTACAATCAGGGGTATGAGTTGTGCAAGGAGAAATTCACAGTAAAATACTGAAGAATTTTCATTAGGATTTTAAAGAAAGACACATGTAAATTCCGAAACTGAATTTAAGACTGGGAAAAGGAGATACCAAGAGAATGGGTGGGTGGCATCCTCAGTTTCTTCCTCATGTGATTCTATGTGTGAACTATTTAAGTGGGCTCATATGACTACTCAGAAGTAAGCCACACTGAGTTTCTCTCTAGTAAATGTATATAGCATTGTAGCCTAAGCCACATGTATTAGCTGCATGATGTTCTTACCTCATTCCATACAGATTGGTATCCTCTCGGGCATTTCCCTCCATTCTTTTAAAGGTCCTAGGAGCACAGTATAATTGCCACATAAAAGTGAGCAAACCTTTTATACATTTTCTACACTTAGAATGAAATTTTATTTCTATTGATGCAGAGGGAATTCCATGTTTTACAAAGACCAGTGTTTTAGTCATTAGGAAGCTACCCTTTTGCTATAAATCTTAGACATTCTTACTTATGGCAAGATATGTCAGGTATGCAACTAGTCACTTGCTACGCACTTTCATCCGAAGGGATGTTTTGAATAGAACACGGCAGACTTTTGTGGTGCTGCTATACTTTCAAATATATTAGTAATAATGGTTCCGACAGAAATCAACATAAGCACCTTAACATCATGTTCTTTGTGATTTTGGAATATGCGCATATTCGATCTCTCTCCAATAAGACTTCCTCATATTATTATTATTTTTTAAATCCCAAACAAACTGTTTTTATTGAAAGCTTTGTTTTTCCTCCATCCAGTAAAAAACAATCTAATGCATAACACAGATTCCTGAAATAGGAAGGAAGGATGGAAAGAAGGAAAGACCAGTATTATACAGGTCACCTGGGAACACACAATAAACTCACTGAAGTAATCCGTACATGGTTAGCTCATCGAGGAACAATAAAGAATGTGACTGCTAAGCAGAAAATGAGTGTGTGCATATATTTTTGGAGTGTTAACTTTTTAATAGGGGAGTATTTGTACTTAACAAATAGTTTCTACCAGGTCATTAAGGCAAGGTGAGACCCTTGTCCATCCTCTTTCCCACAAGAAAAGGATTTTCCATTGATCTGGGTGGACTGAATATGTTCAGGGGAGAATGAAATTGAGGTGGCAAGCCCTTCCACACACACCCCCATGCATTCAGCTGGTCACTTGAACCAAACATAAACTCTCTATGTGCAGTTGCGTACTCAGATGCAGAACCCCCACGCAAAGACAGCTAAGGGAAGAACTGGAGACCACAACATTCTGGGATTAAAATTGGCCACAACTTTACTGGTTTCAGATGTAGGTAAGCGTTGGCATAGGCATTGTGCATACGTATATCCCTCTCAACCCCCTGCTGGGGGTCTGAGGGATGACCAGTGCTTTTTTCTAAAAAAATGTTTAGGGGTACTCTCATTTTGACTCAAGAAAATCACCATATAATAATAATAATAATAATAATAATAATATTTATACCCCAACCATCTGGCTGGGCCTCCCCAATCACTCTGGGCGGCTTCAACAAAATATTAAAATATAGTTCAAATCAGGAAAAATAAATACAGTAAATGGACAAAAGTACAAAGATTCACACAATGTTTAGGGGTATGTGTACCCCTGCGTCCACCCAGAAGGACACCACTGGGCATGACAGGGTCATTCCTGGGGAAGATGGGTTCATGGTCTAGGCAGATGCCTCCTCCCCAAAGTGCTGAGGGAATCTCTGTGGCCCTCCAGCCATGTGCTTTGACCTTTTGGACAGAGGCATCACTCAAGACCCCTCTTATGGGGTACCCTGATATTGCCGCTGCAAGAAGGGGGGTGAGTCACCCCTTCACCTCCTCGCCAGATGTTAGACTAGTTGTTCCACCTAAGGCCTAAACCACCAAAGTTGTGAGTAATGCTATGGGGAAAACGATGGCAGAAACGAAGGGGGGGGGAAGAGAAGGAAGCTGTCAGGACATCTGCCATCTGCCACGACAGATGGTGAGCTCCACGAGAGGATAATGGTGGCCTGTCCACAAACAGTGGTGAATTTCAAGAGGCTCTTTGTATTCTACTCTAGCCGTGACAGGAGGAAAAGTTGTAGCTGAGTGGCAGAGAATGCAGAAGGGCTGAAAAAGATTCCTGGATGAAACCCTAGAGAATGGGCGCTACTTAGTACAGTGGTACCTCAGGTTAAGTACTTAATTCGTTCCAGAGGTCCGTTCTTAACCTGAAACTGTTCTTAACCTGAAGCACCACTTTAGCTAATGGGGCCTCCTGCTGCCGTCATGCTGCCGGAGCATGATTTCTGTTCTCATCCTGAAGCAAAGTTCTTAACCTGAAGCACTATTTCTGGGTTAGCGGAGTCTGTAACCTGAAGCGTATGTAACCTGAAGCGTATGTAACCTGAAGCGTATGTAACCTGAGGTACCACTGTACAGTCAATAGTAAGCTAAATGCACTGAGAGTCTGACTCAGTAGGAATAGTAGGAAGCTCCCTTCTAGGAGCCCAGGTACATCACTTTGGAAAGAACCAATGGAAAATGCTTGGCTTATAACCTTTATGTGTCCCAATGCCTTGCTCCTTTCCACCCCTTCAAGAGTTAACCACATATACACAGGAGTTCTGCTAAATGTCACAGTAGTTAGTATTTTCTAATCCTGATCCCTAAACTACTGTAGCTGCTGTAAAATATATAGTAATAATTTCCTGAGTCAGGGTAATGTATAAGGAATGTCAAGCCAGACTCTGGGAATATTTGCCTTAACTTTGTTTTATTAAAGTGAAACTTTTATTAAGGCATGTGGTGAATTGAGCAATCCATATGATTCATGCAGTTATAAACCCATTGCTACACTCACTATAAATCAATGAGCCATTGTCTAAGTTTATTCCCTCAAAGATTTAAAAATTGGTGGTAGTTGGGGAGGGGGAATTCAACCTGGAAACATTATTTTGGCAGTATGAAAACATGAACACCTCTTGCTGGTGGTTACTCAAGCCCTATTTGAGGATTCTCTGCACCCAACGTCCAGATTGTGGGGAAGCTTTGGAGCACACAAGTATAATACACACGCCCTCTACAGGTGTTCAAGCAGGGTGAAGAAATGTCAGGAAGGAATGCACACCACTGTGGCTGGAGCTACTTGTTGCTTGTAGTTCATCGCAGGACTGAGGAACACTGAAATAGTGCAGACAAAACGTTTGGGGACAACTTCTTTTTTAACACATTGAGAACTTGCCCTATACTTACATCCAGGGTGCTTTTTTCAGCCTAAACTCAGTTCCAGCCCCTCTCAGGTAGGTGCCATTGCCCTTGTATGAGAACAAAGGAGGCATTCATGGTGAGTACCAGTACCTCTTTCTCTAGCACTATTTACATCCAACCATGTAAATAAATTGATGAACTAATAGACCGTATTTTTCACTCCATAAGATGCACTTTTTCCCTCCTAAAAAGTAAGGGGAAATGTCTGTGTGTCTTATGGAGCGAATGTGTGGTCGATCACTGGCTCCCTTTCTGGCCCTGCCCCCTTGCCCAGGCCTCCATTGGCTGTTTGTTTCCCCAGCGACATGTGACTGACTGATTAGATTATCTGTCTGGAAAATGGCACCCTTTCCTAAAGAAGCTGCAGAACTGTGAGTTGAAGCCCATAAAAACGGGGTTTTTTTCCTTTGCAAAGTAAGCTCAAAAAAAGGGGCTTTTCCCCTTTGCAAAAGAAGCTGCACAACTGTGAGCTGATCCTCCCCAAAAAACGGGGCTTTCCCCCTTTCCTCCTCTAAAACATAGGTGCGTCTTATGGTCAGGTGCGTCTTATGGAGCGAAAAGGTAAGTCATTTAGTAAAACAAGGGAACTTGGGCAGTGGTGTGCATTTGCCCTCCTACAGATAAACTGCAGCCATATTAGCACATCTCTGGGTAAAGGCCATAGCTAGGTCCCAGATTCAATCCCTGGGATCTCCAGGTTGGGTTGAGAATGTCTCCTGCTTGAAACCCCAAAGAACCACTGCTGGTGTAGACAGTACTGAGCTAGGTGGACCAATGGTCCGACTCAGTAGAAGGCAGCTTCCTATGTTCTTATGAGTACACGTTGGGGCATAGCAAGATCACAGCCCTTGACTCTTTGCCTCACCTGCCTGCCCTGTTGTGTGCCTGCCCTGATCCCTAATTTGTATGTAGCATTTGGAGAAGCTGTGGCCTTTGTAGGTTGTTGCATTCTAGCACCCATCAACCCCAGCCAGCACAGCCACTGGGAATGGATGGTCGATGTTGTAATTCAAGACAATCTGGAGGACCACAAGTTCCCCACCACTGATTTAAACAGAATCCAAACATGTGGGCTCTATTTGTTCATCCTTGCTCCTTAAAAGTTTGGTGTATCAAGGAGGTGGGATAGAGGAGATGGCAAATTGGGTGTGAAAAGATGCATATTCTGACTCTGCCATGGGATATTGACGTTACATCTAACATATGAACACAATGTGGGAAACTGGGTATGTTTCTATGTCCCCATTGGACATAGGTTCTGGAGTATCTCTCTGGATCAAATGGGTCCCCCCTTTCTCTCTCTTTTCCAGATTGAAATTTACACGAGGTTGAAGGAAGCAAGGGGATACATTTCATTATGTTAAGAATTCATTTTCTCTAACAAATTTATTCCTGAAAATACTAACAAATGGTTATGGCAAACATGATCTTGATTGCAAGCAGGCCTGTTTTTCTTCAGAAAGAAGGATGATCAGCAGCATATGTTCAAGGAACAAGAAGCAAACTACACACTGATCATGCTTAACCATGATTCTCCAGAATCATGGCATTATCCACAGTGCAGTTTGACATCTGTTCTTGAGAGTAATCTCCCAAACGGGAACTAACTTGAAAAGAGGAGAAACAGATTCCCATCCACTGTCCTAATTATTCATATCCTACCATCCTAAGTGGCTGCGCTCGGTGCATGTTTTCTTAGTGTAAGATTTTCCACACTCATAGCCTCTCTCTGGTGTACGGTCAACAGGGAATGGCTTTGCTGCCTGTGAGTGACCTTGTGCATCTTTCAGCAAGCTCCAAAATCCAAATGCAAAAGCCAGCAGTTGGAGACTTCGTGTGGGCTTGTGACTCTCTCTGGGAGCACAGCACTGGCTCTATAAATCAGGGAACAGATTACTTTCAACACGGCGTAGAGAGATTTGTGTCTGCGTACCTGCTAGAATATGGACAATAGCCTTCATTTTTGAAGCAATCCTGTAGACTGTTGGAGGCAGGAAAAGGAAGGAAGGAAGGAAGGAAGGAGAAGAAGAAGAAGAGGAGGAGGAGGAGGAGGAGGAGGAGGAGGAGGAGGAGTTTGGATTTGATATCCCACTTTATCCCACCCGAAGGAGTCTCAAAGTGGCTAACAATCTCCTTTCCCTTCCTCCCCCACAACAAACACTCTGTGAGGTGAGTGAGGCTGAGAGACTTCAGAAAGAAGTGTGACTAGCCCAAGGTCACCCAGCAGCTGCATGTGGAGGAGCGGGGAAGCAAACCCAGTTCACCAGATTACAAGTCCACCGCTCTTAACCACTACACCACACTGGCTGCCAGTGTGATTCAGGATGCAATGAGTCAGGATGCTCACTACAAAAGGACCACATCTAGAGAATCATTTGGGCCTAAAGTCCAAATTAAATACAAGAGGAGTTATAGATTGTTGTTGTTGGCATCTGTCTGTCTCAGAAGACAATGGAGAGCACCTCCAGGGGTGAAGTCAAACTGTGACATTAGCAGCACTGAAGTAACCTTCCCAGGGTGCAAGCCTGGGCAGTGTGTACGGAACTGCTGGGCTGTCCAGATGGCAAGACCCTCCACTCTCGGCCTCACTGATGTGGTCCAAAGGAAAGCAGAGCAATACGTTTGGCCCCAGCTTGGCTGCAGGAGTTGCCAGGAGGTGGCATACAAGGTGCCATCCAACCATCTTAGGGACTCCACTCTGGATTTCTGTAGAGTTTACTCACACAGAAAGAAGTGTGAAAAATAAAGTGGTAGCCGATTTCTCTTCTGCTCACAGCCCTTAAATCTTAGACTGCATCGTTGCCAGTTTTTATTCTGCAACTCAATCTGCAATGTCCAGTTTGATTTACCCGAGGGGATGTACTGATTGCCACTGGTATTGCCTCTAATATGTACACTGGGGCTGTGTATGTATTGTTTACACTGCATTTGCGGCACTACCACCATTAGTTTTGGAAGCCCTATACCAGCCACAATCCACATCTATCCTGAAGTTAATTGTCTGACAACCAGATATTATTCCCCTTGACAAAGAGGTGCACCCCGTCAGGTCTGAAATGACCACTCCCCGCCTCAAACGGGGGGCACGCTTTGCGTGGTCGCATGCAGCCCCTTGATCCTACACGATCCCTGGCAATTCAGCCTGGCTTCGCCTCCCTAAGCTGGATACCTGGAGGTTCCCGCCCAACCTCAGACAACTAGCCAATCCCAGCTGGGGAGGTGTTGCCAGGGGAGTTGACCAGGTGGGGTTAGGATCACCCTGCACACGCAATAGAGGGTGGAACTTACCTGGGAGTCCTCAGTCGGCTCCAGAGCTGAAAAGAATTCTGAAAAAGATTCTGAAAAGAATCTCTCTCCCAGTTGTGGAATAGGCATAATGCTGCTGTTGTACTTATTATTTTTTGACAGTACAAATACCTTTATTGGCATTATAAGTTAAGACATTTCAAAACACTAGGATAAATTTGAAAGCGACAGGAGTGAGGCTGTCAAGGGTCACAAGGCACTTGATTGTTCTGCTTCACCCTGTCTATTCCCTAGAGGGACAATTCATTAATAACCCCTTTGGGTAAGATGGAGATTAAAAAGGAAGCCACTGAGGTAGTAACGTCCTTGTCCCTATCCGCTAGGAGGAACCTCATTTGGCTTTCTCTCAGAGCCGTGGGTCACAGGTCCAATATCTTGCTCAGCATCTGTTTGCGGAGTCTGCTGTGCAAAGGGCAGTCCAAAAGAACATGGTCCAGTGAATCTGGTACTCCCTGATTACAGGCACACAGGCGGGCTTGATAAGGAATTTGGCTAATGTTATACTGGATATTGGGATGCGGGTAGCGCTGTGGGTTAAACCACAGAGCCTAGGGCTTGCCGATCAGAAGGTCAGCGGTTCAATTCCCCACAACGGGATGAGCTCCCGTTGCTCGGTCCCTGCTCCTGCCAACCTGGCAGTTCGAAAGCACGTCAAAGTGCAAGTAGATAAATAGGTACCACTCCGGCGGTGTTTCCGTGCGCTGCTCTAATTCACCAGAAGCGGCTTAGTCATGCTGGCCACATGACCCAAAAGCTGTACGCCGGCTCCCTCAGCCAATAAAGTGAGATGAGCGCCACAACCCCAGAGTTGGCCACGACTGGACCTAATAGTCAGGGGTCCCTTTACCTTTTACCTTTACCTATACTGGATATTAATATAAAACATATAGGAGTACTGGCTGGGTCAACAGCAGCTACAGTTCCCCTTTCCCTTCTGACTGCATGGGTAATTATGAATCCGGATGTGCTTTCTTAACTTTTATGTTTATTTTTAAAACACATCTCTCGCCCCCCCCCCCTCCAGCCAACGAATTCTGTTTCAAGTAAGCACTTTACCAGCCTCACTGCCAAAAATAGGTAATTCCTCTTATTTAAGTATTAGAAACAGACCAGCTGAGCCCATTGCTAGGTGTTGGCAAAGTGACTCGGGAATGTCTGTTTGGAGCATACAGGCATTGCATTGCATAACTTAAATAATTTTTCAGCTTTACCCCATTAAACAGGAGTTCTAGCAATATTTTTACAGCAGCCGATGTGAAAAGGCATGCGAAATCAAAAGAAAACACACCTTGTGTTTAAGCAGAATGGGAAAAGCACGAAGGTGAACACATTTTCCCGAGAGCTGCAGCTTCTTGCATGTTTTGTGTTGGAAAGAGGGTTACTCACAAAGGCTTAGAAGGGCTGGGTCTTTCCAAAATGTTACCTGCATGTGTTGCTATAAACCATTCTGGTTCCGTATGAAATAAAAGTGATGCTATGACTTGATTACAATCCAAAATCCTTCTTGCCGGCATGATGACATCAGGCCTGGATACCGACGTAGTTTTAATAAATCCATTGCATTCAACACTTTTCTGCTTTCCCCAGGGTCACTGAAGTATGCAGGCAAGCGTGTGTGTATGTTATTGGGCTGTTTTTGTATGAATTATGTATTTTGTGATTTTATCTTGTGACCTGCCCTGAGACCTGAGGGTATAGGGCAGTATACATATTTAATAATAAATAAATTAATTAAAATTTCTAATTGCATTTCTATCCCAGCTTCTCTCCAATGAGCCCAAGGTAGCACACATGGTTTTCTTCCTCCCTACTTTATATTCACAACAGCCCTGTGAGGTAAGTTTAGGCTGAGAGACAGTGATTGGCCCAAGGTTACCCAGTGAGTTTCATGGCTGAGCAGGGATTTTAACCCTGGTCTCCCAGGGCCTAATTGAACACTAACTGCTACACCATGCTGGCATCCTGGTGCCTTTCAGCTGCTTTGGACTCCAACTCCCATCAGCCCCAACCAGCATGGCTAATGGTCAGAGACAATGGAATTTGTAGTCCTCTGGGGGCACCATATTGGAGAAGGCTGGTGTACTGGTCCCGGGGGCTAACCAAGTGGTGAGGTCCAAGTCCAGTCCGAGGTCGAAGGTGCAGTATGGAGGCAGTCCATAAAAGTTGAAGCTGGATGCAGGGCATGTAGTCTGGTGAGGACAGGAGCTCCGGCAAGATAGCAGGACAGGGTTCAGGCAGGAACTGACAACCAACAAAGTTGCTCCCACAACTTGGGACTGAGGCTGGCTGGCTTTTATCTGCCCCGAGGCACAGGGCAGCCCCGATCCTCAGGTGACTTGCCTCTCCTGGCCTGGAGGCAAGCACTCCTCCTGCAGGAACTTAGTTCCCTCCGCCTCTCTGCCCTGAGCCTCTGCAGCTCAGGAGAAGCTGGAGGGTTACCGGACCCAGAGGCAACCTCAGCTTCCCCTGATGGGGCTGAGAGTGGAGCACCTGCAGGCAATGGGTCCTCCATCACCTCAGGAGCCAGAGCAGACTCAGCTGGTGCCTGCACCTGAGGATCCAGCACAGGTGAGAACCCTTCAGGCTCATGCTCCAGCCCTGGCTCAGCTGGTCCTGGAGGCAGGGACTCCTGTGCAGGCTGGGATTCCTCAGGTTCATCATCCAAATCTGAATCCCAGGCCATCACAGCTGGTCTACTCTGATTGGCTGCAGCTTTTCATTGTCTTTCTCTGGCAGACACGCTGACTTGGGAAGGAGACTGGTGGGCAGATGTTGCGTACGACATCATGACGTCACGTCTGGGCATCACACACAACGTCGACACCTGGACATTCGGCATTGCGGGGCAGCTTCCTTCACCTCCTGCTACTGCCATGAGCTGGGGGCTGCTTTCCGTCTCTGGCAGGAGGGGGAGGAGGATGCAGAGAAGCTGTTGCTTTCCTGGTTTGCGCAACCACAGTGTGATGGCCTGGGATTCAGACTCAGAGGCTGAACCTGAGGAATCCCAGCCTGCACAGGAGTCCCCGCCTCCAGAACCAGCTGAGCCGAGGCTGGGGCCTGAGCCTGAAGTGTCCTCACCTGTGCTGGATCCTCAGGTGCAGGCACCAGCTGAGTCTGCTCTGCCCCCTGAGGTGCTGGAGGACCCATTGCCTGCAGGTGCTCCACTCTCAGCCCCGTCAGGTGAGGAGGAGGTTGCCTCTGGGTCCGGTAACCCTCTAGCCTCTCCTGAGTTGCAGAGGCTCAGGGCAGAGAGGCGGAGTGAACTAAGTTCCTGCAGGCGGAGTGCTCGCCTCCAGGCCAGGAGAGGCAAGTCACCTGTGGACCAGGGCCGCCCGATGCCTCGGGGCAGATAAAAGCCAGTCAGCCCTAGTCCCAGGTTGTGGGAGCAACATTGTTGGTAACCTGTTCCTGCCAGCACCCTGTCCTGCTCTTCTGCCAGAGTTCCTGACTTCGCCTGACTCTGTGCCTTGGACCCCGCTTCTGCCTTGACGGATAGCCTACACACCACACCCTTGACCCCGGACTGGACACGGACCTCGCCACACGGTAACCCCCCGGGACCAGCACACACATAAAGCCCAGCAGTTGCACGCGTGACAGCACCGTGTCCAGGTGTCATGTACGATGGTGACATCACATGCAATTCTCAGATGAACATTTGAGGGGGCTCAGCCCCCCATAACAGATAAAGGGAGGGGATCAAATGGGTTCAGCCCCTAGGAGTCAGCGCCCCTATTCCCAGCCCTGCTTCTTGAGATAGGGTCTGGCTAGAGCTGACAGGAGTTGAGGTCCAAAAGAGCTAGAGGGCACCGGGTTGGCGAAAGCAGACTCTTTCAGTAGGACAATGACAGCTGCCCCCATTCTTATACAAGGCCCTGTTGCTGCAACTTGGCTTGTTGCTACATGCTCCATGTTCTTGGCAGGCAAAACGGCTAGAAACCTGAGGAATGCGTAACTCCAACTTCAACACAGTGGCCTTGTTCCTAAGCA